CGGTGGTATTGGTTCCAGATAGGGAGGAAAAAAGCCTTGGCTGTCATATTCAGGCCGGTCAGACATCCGGATGGATAAACCTATTTCCAATAACGTCTGGCGATCATAGGAAAAAGTACAACACACATGTAACACAGAATTAACTAAAAACAATAAAACAAAACAAATAAAGGAGAGCGATAGACGGCGTGCTGAACACACAGGCGCCATCATGGATGGCAGCTATGGCTGCGGCTGCTCCGTCTGGACCTGAGGGAAGTGCACGGGAAGTTTTCCACACCCCACACACCGCGGCTCTTCTGTCGTCCTTTTATTGATTACATCCACAACGGGAGCCAGTTACATCAAGCCGTTCCTTCCATCCACCAGTCACAGCCGAGCCCCCATACATTCATTCAGAAACAAACAAACAACACACGCACATAACACTGCAAATAATAAAATTGTTGTTGGGCATCTGTGCTTTCAATGCAGTGACTGGTAGAGTAATTACTCTTTCATGCCAGTGGGTGGCAGTGAGTAGCACAATATGACCTTGTTAAGTTAAGACAATAGAAATAGTGATGCGTGTGGTACGTGTCAGTTGCAAGACGTACAACAAAGATGGATAAATATTTGAAAAAAAACCCCTGCAAACTCCGAACTGGGCCCTGGACAAAATTTGTAACTCAGAAGAGCCTAGTATGAGTGGTAGTCACAAGAAAGCTAAATCGGTGAGCTTGACGCAATACAGCAAAAGTTATCTTTCGTTTTGATTTACTTTCACTGGAGATCTGACTGCACCAACTCCGTTATGTTTGGTGCGTGAGGAAAAGCTCTCAGTGTAATGGTCCCATGCAAGCTTTAACATTATTTCCACACAAAACATTCCCCACTTCAAAAGAAGAACACAGACTATTTTGTTCGCCTGCGTGAAGACACTGAGAAATGGCTAACTTTAATGAGAAAAAAACACAAAGGTGTCTGAAAGAGCTCTCAAAGCTAGCTACTTAGTAGCTGAACTTATAGCCAAATCCAAAAAAAGACACACAGTAGCAGAGACTTTAATCCTACCTACCTGCAAAGCAATTGTGAATGAGATGCTTGACCCTGATGCAGTTAAAGAAATAGCCAGAGTCCCGCTCTCAGATAACACAATTGCCAGACGTATCGATGACATGTCTGCAGACATTGAAAGTTTGGTTTTGGAGAAGTTTGCGGTGCAACTTGTTGAGTCTACGGACATAAGTGGACATTTCCAACTCTTGGCCAATGTGTGTTTTGTGGATGGAGACTCTATCAGAGAAGACTTTCTATTTTGCAAGGTACTACCAGAAAAAACAACAGGAGAGGAAAGTTTTTGGGTTACACCTGAATATCTTGAACAAGGAGGAATTAAGTGGAAAAACTGAGTGTCTGCATTGATGGAGCAGCAACTGTGGTTGGGTGCACCAAAGGTTTCGTTAGCAGAGTGAAAGCGGTACACCCAGATGTTATTGTTACACACTGTCTGCAGCATGAGGCGCTCGTTACCAAGACTTTACCAGCAGACCTAGCTCCTGTGTTGGATGATGTCGTGTGCATGTAAACTTCGTCAAGACAAGACCTCTGAAAAGCCGCATATTTGCATCTCTATGCTAAGAGACACTCTGAATTCAATCATCCCTAATTCTGCAGACAATCCTATCTCTCAACATGTGTTGCCACAATTACGATCTTGTGCCAGGTGACGCAGCTCCGCTACATATTCCATGACAGTTTCATATGGCTTGCGGAAGCGATCGTCGAATTTATACCTTTGCACAGTTTCACTGGGCTCTGGATCAAAGTGATTTTTCTTCAGAAGTACCAGCTCTTGGAAGGTTTTGTCTTTCAGCTTGGCCAGGCTGAGAAGGTTTCACATCAAGCTGTAGGTCGCTGCTCCGACGACACTTATTAATATAGCTCTTTGCTTTTCTGCTTGATCCAGTTAGCAGTGAAAAACTGCTTGAGTATTTCCATATGCTCATCCCAAGTCTGATTCTTTGGATCGAACGCTACTACCATGCCAATTATAGCCATTTTCCGCTTCAAATTACTGCCTTCTATTTTCAGTGGAAAACTCTTGCATTCATTGAAAGCTAGTGAAATCTGTAGCTGACTCCCATCACTTTGTTCTTTTTTTTGTGTGTGTGTCCGATTGCCCACTTCCTTCCCCCTAAATGTCCTCATCGCCAAAATAATGTTGCATCTTCAAAAAACAAAAATGGAATCACTGAACCACACACGGGGAGTATAGCTGCTTCTCGTTTACTAAAGCCTTGTAGTCACTTGTTTCAGGCACAACTGTTTACATGTACCTAACTTACAGAACTCTCATCTTCTCGATCGTGGCTCAAGAGTTGGGAGTTTGCCTTGTAATCGGAAGGTTGCTGGTTCGAGCCCCGGCTTGGACAGTCTCGGTCGTTGTGTCCTTGGGCAAGACACTTCACCTGTTGCCTACTGGTGGCGCCAGTGTCCGGAAGCCTCGCTTCTGTCAGTGCGCCCCAGGGTGGCTGTGGCTACAATGTAGCTTACCATCACCAGTGTGTGTGTGAATGGGTGGATGACTGTGTAAAGCGCTTTGGGGTCCTTAGGGGCTAGTAAAGCGCTATACAAATACAGGCCATTTACCATTTTTCCATTACCTTTCAGGTCCAGTCCAAAAAGGCTAGGCAGCGCCTGTACAATCTTTGACAACTGAGGAAGTTCGGGGTCTCTCCAGTGATCCACAGGATTTTCTATGCAGGTACTGTGGAGAGCATCCTCACACAGACGATCACATCCTGGTATGTGAATAGCTGTGTTAAGGACCAAAAAGTTCTTCAGAGAGTGATCAATGCGGCAATGCTCTCCCATCCCTACAAGACATTTACACCAGGAGATGTTGGTCCAGAGCAGTTCAGATATTAAAGGACCCATCCCATCCCAGCAACAAACTGTTCCAACTTCTGCAATCAGGCAAAAGATTCCATCTGCACCATCCGAGCAAAAACGGGGAGGCTCAAGAGGAGCTTCTACCCTCAGGCCATCCGAGTCCTAAACCAGAACTTAATGTATATAATTCACTACTTACTGTATATAATGTCCTCTTTATGCATAGTTGAAGAGCATTTCAGGAAACATTTCATTTCACTGCGTGTTGTACTCGTATAACTATGCATGTGACAAATAAAGAATCTTGAATCTTTTAAGAAACCAGATATTCTTAACTGGCTGATTGTAAAATGGAGTTAATATAAATTCAGCTTAAAGCATAAAAGGTTTAAAAAACAGAGTTGCGATGAATATGGTTCATAAAAAAAAATATAACATGTATGGCATAGATTTGAAGTAAGTTTCCAACATCAGTGTAGATCTTGCTGAAGAATGGCTGAGCTGTTAAAAGTCCAGAACAAATAAATGAGTGAATTAATAAATAATCGTTTAAAGAGATTACTACGCAAGTCACTAAGACTCGCAGTGTGCTGAGTAAGTAGTGAGGATGTAAAATGGGAAAATGCATAGCACTTCAAAAACCAGACTTGCAAGTTTATTTGCAAAAAAAAAACATGCAATGAACAAAGAATATAAAATCAATAGACACAGGGGAAAAAAGTCAAAGCCTGAGGATAAATTATAAGTACACTTGACACATCAATTTAAAACAAAGCCGAGCAGTGCTAGGATCAAAAGCAACATCAAAAATAAAACAGTGGCTCAATAATTAAGCATCAAATAAAACTGTGGAAAAGAAAATTCTGCAGTCGTTCTTAATTAATAATTTAAAATTTAGCAGTTGTGTGTGTGTGTTTGTTTTAAATGCAGTTTTAGTCCCTCCCCTCTTTAAACCAGCTTGTTTGACACAGGATGTGATCAGTGGGACGTCAATCTAAGATAAATTAGTGTTGGGTGGAGATCAAGTCTATTTCTTTTGGCATGCTTTATATTTAATAGTCTGAATCTTTGAAATTAAATATATTTTGTTTAAATTCTTTTTTTTTTTTCAACAGAAGTTACTGAAATCCAGGAAATAAAGGAAACATAGCTTGTACATCTCAGTCAGCAGTGGAGTACGTCAGGAGGGCCAGACTCAACCTGGTGAGAACATTAAAGGGGCTCACTGCTGTGATTGTGGAGAATCTGTACCAGAGAGGAGTTTTCTCAGAGGAAGAAGTCAGTAAAATAAAGACAGATGGTGGCGACTTTGACAAAAGGAGAAGAACTGTGGACTCTGTCATCAAAAAGGGGGAAGCAGCTTGCTATGAGTTTCTCAGGATTATTGACATAATAAAGAGATCCACAGAAAGCTCAGTCTGTTCTGGAAAATACAGAGACAGACTCTTCTTTGAAAGACGAATTTGACCTGAGCTACTGGATCAGCTGCTTTTCCTTCAAGGAGGACACCAACATGGATGTAACGTATTTACAAGGTATTTTTAAACAAACTGAAGTCAGTGGCATGTTTTAATGTGATCACACTCATTTAAAATGCAGTGTTGTTCAGTGACACATGAGTTAAATCACTAAATCACTTTTTAATTAATTTCTCCTTTCTTTCAGGCCCCAGCCCATGCCACAGATACCAGCAAAAGCTGAAATCAGAAACTCAAAAGATTTCAGAAAGATCATGGATCCAAAGTAAAGCAGTCCTGTTCAACAAGGAGACATTTTTGTCGTACACTTCACTTGTGTTAGACACACAAGGACAGGCTTCACCATCCAAAATAAAAAAGTCAAAGATCAAAAAAAGCAGGAAGGTTCGTACTAAAAAACTAAAGGCCTACATACCTGAGGACAAACAGGAAACTTCCCCCAGTGAACTGCTGAAAACGTATAAAAGAAAAATCCTTTTGGTAGGAAAACCTGGAACTGGGAAAACGGCTGTGGTCCATCAGATGTTGAAACTATGGTCAGAGAAAGACAACAAGGATCTAGATTACATGTTCTACTTTGATATGAGAGAAACACCCAACATCACAGAGGTCCATAAACTGGAGGATCTTCTCTTCAGTGTGTTCAATGAACCAGATGAAGGCAAAGACAAAGTCTTAGAGGACATAAAGAATAATGCTGACAATGTTACTATCATTTTTGATGGCGTTACAGATATCCCCTCTACTTCTGTGGTGTTTAAGCTCATACAGAAGACTCTTCTACCTGAAGCAAAGATCATCATCACCTGCAGACCAGAGGTGGAGTCAGCAGACTTCCTGTTAGGTTGGGACTGTCTCAGAGTGGAAGTGAAAGGCTTCAGTGAGCAGGGCATCAGAGAATACTTATCCAAGTATCTGAGTGAGGAACACTTCAACAAAGTTTTGTGTAACTTGGAATTATTCTCTCTGTGCCACGTCCCCATGTACGCTCTGATGGTGGTTGCCTGCTTTAGTTTTGAGGGCTCAGAGTTCTCTCCACATCCCTGCACAGTTACAGAAATATACCTCAATATCCTCCATTTCTGCATTCAGAGAAATGTTTGCAAGACATCTGAAAATGAAAGCACTAAATGGGATGCAGTACTGTCTTTATCTGAGGCTGCTTTTTGTGCAACAGAAGGAAAAAATGTGAACCTGAAATCACTGCCCAAATTAGAAAGCTGTACTTATTTAGCTTTTTTGAGCAGGAGTGTATCTCAAGTCAGCTCAACTGCAAAGAAACCCTTGTGTGCCTTTCTCCACTACACTGTTCAAGAGTTTTTTGCAGCACTGTGGGTCTTGAAGGATCCAGAACGGACCAGAAGTGTTGTCCAACAGTGTCTGACTGACAACATCAAACACATGAAACACTTAGTCCCCTTTTTGTGTGGACTGTTAAATGATAAAAACACTGATTTGCTAGAAAGTCTGATTCCTTCTCAGCAGCTCAGAGAAACATCTGGCTGGTTCTTCAAACACTTGGTGACCACCTTTGTAGATCGTAGTGACACTGAGGACTGTGAAATAGACTTGCTGTTCTTATGTCAGTGTCTCTATGAGTCTCAGTCTGCTGAAGCCTGTGTTTATCTTCTGGATAAACTGGACTACTGTCTTGATCTGAGTGGGGAGACTCTCGATCCTCAGCAATGCTATGCTGTGTCCTATATAATCAGCCAGAGTAAGGAGAGGAAAATACAGCTGAACTTGGAAAAGACAAAAGTATCAAAACAAGGAATAAGACCATTACTAGGATGTCTGAGCAAACTCCAAAGGTAAGTAAGAACATATAGTTTACGTGTTTGTTTAATCTAAATATCTGTAGACTTTTTGACATTTTCTGACTTTTAATCAGTGTTGGTCAAGTTACTTGAAAAAAGTAATCAGTAACTAATAACTGATTTCTTCCCCACAAAAGTAATCCCGTTACTTTACTGATTACTTATTTTCAAAAGTAATTAATTACTTAGTTACTTAGTTACTTAGTTACTTTTTAAAAACACGATTTACAACCTGAAGAGGTGATAAAGCGATAGATCTTTCAGCCCAATTCTACTTTTTCTACATAATCCATCATACAAAATGTAATCAAATGGAAAAGTCTCTTTTTAAAACTTGTTTTATCAGTTTTAATCTTTTAACTTTATGCATCAAGCAAATATTTAATTATATGCAACATTCTCTGACTTGAATAAATTAGTTTAACATTTAAACCTATTTTCTGCACATTCCAGCACATAAAATAATTATTTTTTTTTGTTTACACTCACTCTTTCAAATAGATGCAAGTAAAACACAGCAGAAAATAAATAATGTCAAAGACTAGCGGTCCCTGGTGCAGGTGTGCCGCGGTCAGTGGAAGAATCCGCGAGTTTCTCTGTGAGTTTCCCATTACGTCGTTGCGCACTCAGTGCTTGCTTGGAAGTTTAGGGGTTTTTTTCGCTGTAAAAAGAAGTTTTCTTCCCACGCACAATGGATGCTAATGTTTTTGTCACTTTTTATGGAATCAAACTTAAAATAAGGTCAGTACTTCCAAGCTTTAAACGCTGTGCACGGTCATACTCTCTCCCGCACTCGATATATTATCCATTGTTGATCTGCACACAGCTGTTGTCACGAACGTCGCACTTGCTTACGTCACTGTCATGAGACATTCTCGCAAAAAATCAGGGTTTTAGTAACGCAGTAACGCAGCGTTCCTACGGGAAAGTAACGGTAATCTAATTACCGTTTTTGCAATAGTAATCCCTTACTTTACTCGTTACTTGAAAAAAAGTAATCGGATTACAGTAACGCGTTACTGCCCATCTCTGCTTTTAATACTAGAAAACATTCTCTGAGGTAGACAAGCTAAAATCAGTCCTTAATTTTATGAATATAAGCTAAAGGTCACATAAAATCTACTTAAATTAACTTGCTGTAAGTCTGAAGGTCTCCATGCTTCTTTTTTTGCCATTGTCATTCTAATGCCTTTAGTATTTTCTTCATTTTTGTCAGAACTTCCAAAGTACAAATACTTTGCATCACTCTCCATATAAAAGACATATGTGTATCTGAGATTTTCATTTAAAATGTAAAATGTAATAAATTCACACATTCATGATGCCTTTTTAAAAACTAAACCATTAGCAATCATCATAGTGCTACCACCTTGCTTCACACTTGAGCTGATGTTGACAAAACAAAGTGATGGTCAAACTCTTATCTGGTGACGCTGGATGCCCCAAAGCATAATGTCTCAGTGATGTTCTATTAGATTTAGGTCGAACAAGTCAGGGGCCAGTCAATAGTATCAATTTCTTCATCCTCCAGGATCTACCTGCATGCTTTTGCCACATGAAACTGGACATTGTCGTACAGAAGGAGGAGCCCAGGACCCAGTGCACCAATGCGGGGTCTGACATTGGGTTCAGGAGTTTCCTCCTGATACCTTGTGGTAGTCAGGGTGTAGTTGCCTAGCCTGTAGAGGGTTGTGCAGATCATTTCTGACCCACCACCAAACTGGTCATTCTGAACGAAGTTAAAAACAGCATAATGTTCTCCACAGCTTCTCCAGACCCCTTCATGTTTGTCATATGTGCTCAGGGTGATACTGCTCCCATCTTTGAAAATAACAGGGCACCAGTAGCAGATGGCAATTGGGTCCTTGGTGCCAGGCAGTGAGGCCCACTAGATGATTTCAGGCCCTGAGGTCTATTTCTGATTGTTTGTTTGGTCAGAGACATTCCCTCCAGGGCCCTGGTGGAGGTTATTTATCTAGGGCACTAGCAGTCTCCATCCTGTTTCTCCTTGCAAAAAGGAGCAGATTCCAGTCCTGCAGATGGGTTAAGGACCTTCTAGGGTCCTGTCCAGCTCTCCTAGGTAACTACCTAACTCTTGGAATCTTCTTTGTGAACTTGGGACTCGCCTGGGAGACACAGAAAACCTTCTGGGAATGGCACATATTGATGTGCAATCCTGGAGAGGCTAGACTATCTGTGCAACCTTTGCAGGTTCCAGGTATCTCCTCATGCTACCCGTAGTGACACTGACCCTATCCAAATGCAGAGTTAGTGAAAAGATTGACAGAAAAGATAAGGAGGAGAAAAAAGTAAGTGAGCTCCACTTGTAAAACTATTCCTCTTTTAAAAATTGTCTCGTTGTTCCCCAAATAATAAAAATTAAACTTAAACAGTTTTTTATAAGATGGTTGCCTAAGATGAGCATAAGAACTTGGGGGAAACTTTGAAGTGATATCAGGATAATAATATTAAGAATAATTTCTAACCTCTGTGAAAAAATAATCAACTATTGATACATTAAATATGTTAGTGTGCCTAAAAAAAAAGAAAAAAAAGACCAAGGATCATAACACAAGATTGCAGATTTTTAAGTCAGTGGTCAAACTAAGGGTAAGCAAAAATTACAAAGTACAAACTAAAGTTCTGTGCATTAGTCTGTACCCTAGGGGAGTCCAACTTCAGGCCTCAAGGGCCAGTATCCTGCAGGTTTTAGATATCACCCTGGGTCAACACACCTGAATCAAATGATTCATTCATTACCAGGCCTGGAGAACTTAAAGACATGTTGAGGAGGAAATTAGCCATTAAAGTCAGCTGTGTTGGATCAAGGACACATGTAAAACTTGCAGGACACCAGCCCTCGAGGCCTGGATTTGGACACCCCTGCCTGTACATGTTAACAGCACACTTGTGGTGAATCTGAGTTGTCTATGCAGGCTCTTGCAGTTGAGTCTTGGTGTTGAGATGTGGAAACTAGAATGAAAAAAGCAAATATTTTAATTCAGTTTAGGCGATAACAAGCATAACATAAACATACCTATTTTGTGGACTCTTATTTTCTTGGCTTTTTTTTTGTTTTAAAACAATTTCTTTTAAAACAGTTGTTAACAACCATCAAGAGACTTTATGGTTGTTAACTTCTCATTACTTGTCAATTAATATGAAGCTCTCCAATAAATTTCCAGTTTCCAGTTATCATGGCAGCTTTGGACCATTTGTCTTCTCAGCGAGGTGGAGGTGGATTACATCAGCTTACTTTGCTTTGCTGAGAACCAGCTGCACCTTTCAGTAAACAGTCAGCCACAACTCTATGACCGTGCTGGAAAAGTCCTGCAGAAAAGTGCAGAGAAGGTTAAAGTCTGCCTCCACTGGGATCACAGAAGTTCCGTTGACCAATCTGTCAGCGAGTTTCTCTTACAGTTTTTACCCAACATCCACTCACTCAGGTATACTGCTTATATGCATATTAATTTACTTATGCCCACATCTATATTTCATCTGTCTTTAACTTCGAATGTGTCATTCAGAAATTATTACATTGAATTAAAACTCTGACTTTAAAGATTTTTCTGATCTCTTGATGAATCTCATCAATAGAGCAGCAGAGGGAACAAAACATTGAGCATGATGATGATGATGATGATGGTAGCAGCTTTATAGTGAGCAGCAGATGAAGATTTCAGACAGCAGAGAGTCTTCATCACTTTGTGTGTCCACCTGCAGATGTAGCAGATGTGTTAGAGCAGGATGAGTGTTTGTGTTGTAAGAGTGTAAAACAGTGTTCAGCTGCTCTGATGGAAGATGTGTTCATCACTGAATTTTTCCCTGTTATTGTTCCAGTGTTGATACAAAGACATCAGATGAAGACAGAATCAGGTTCTTTGTGAACCTGTTCTGTGCAGCAGCAGAGAGAGAACAGCAGACAGGCGAGAAGATACTGGAGCTGTTATCATCAGTGTGCACATATCAAACATTCCCTTTTGATGATGCATACATGAATGACGATATGAAGAAATATCAA